AGTGGCCCCCACCTAATCATAAAAGCCTAAACATTCACATTCTTTCTCACACAGCGCCTAAGCTACGACCTTGGCTCCCTGTTTATCTGCTCCTGCTCAGATGGGGCAGAAAACCTCTCCAGTATGTTCTGTTCTCTTCTAATCAGACAAATAAGGCAATGACTTTCTGCGAACAGTATTTCTTATAACTCAGCAGTATAATGCATCATAAAACAATATCATTCATTCACAATAAATCAGCAGTCTAATGTAATGCAAATCAGTTTAACAAATGTAATAGTTATCACCTTCTTCTAATTCAGGAGAATAATGCAAACTAAAACTACATAATAATTCACAATCTTTAATTCGGGGTCTAACATGGCATAAAATAACATTATAATCCCACAATAGTTACACAGTTTTCTGACACTTTAACCTTTACAGGTTAAAAAGCGATGGCAATGATGACAATCAATGAAATGTAAATAGTTATTTACAGCACACGAAACTCCCTGTGGACTCTGCTGTGACCGAGATAAATATCTCTTCTGCTCGTTTTCAGCTGTTTTAAATATGATCTTTCGACAGTTCCAAAGACATTTGTGCGTCTTTGTAAATCAAAGACGGAGTGTGTGAAACTCTGGAAATCGTGGAAGTGATGTGAAGTGGACGTAAATGCTAAGGGGAGTTTTCCTCCAGGCTGAGGTTGCCGAGATTCACACTTTCTAGACGTATAATTGAAGAGAACGTACGAAAATCATTGTTACCACCTCCACCAATGCTCAACGTCCCTGTTGCTCATTAATTCTATATTTGTTAAGTTTTAAATACAGTCACAGTCTGTTTTGTGTTAAGCAGTAATAAATGACATCAAGATTTCAATTAAATGTCTTTCACTTTGGAGAACCATGGATAGTATTAATTGCACTGGTGTTTAAAATTAACGATCATTGCGTACGTGGGAAAGACATCCAACAATAGACCACTTCTTTATTGCACAGCAGAAGAAAAGGAGAAGTTGTGAAAGATACACTTTTGCTAATCATTGTTATACAAGCCAGCAAACATCAAGAGCGACTTTCATTGTTCTTTTTGTTAAATCTTCTGGCTCCTGTAATGTTTGATTGTAAGCCTCATTGCCTGGGGAATCATTTTATTGGGTCACCTTACTGAATTTGGTGACCCTGCTTTGGCTTATAAAGCTGCCAAATAAAATAAGTTTCTTCCACCTCATTTCTCCGCTAATAACATAATTAACCCCGCTCAGCTGTCCTCACCAGCAGATCACATAACTGTCTCATATTTACTCAGATGTGAACATTAACTGGTTCCTCAAGCCTTGGTCAACAGACAGGAGAGAACCTTCCAGTCTTGCCTACCTCATGGTTACACAGACAAGTTAGCTTTATTTGCTCCCCTCAGTTTTTAATGAAGTACTAAACTGTCCCTATTTTTAGAAGCATATTAGCTTCAGTTTGAAATGTTTGTACTTAATTATAATGTTAGTTGTTTTTTATGATTCACAGCTGATTTAGCCAGATAAATGCAAAGGGTTGTGTCAGGAACCCAGGAAGAAAGTCTTTATGCAGATCAGGATAATTCCACAACAGAGTAGCCAAAGCTCAGATTGAGGTTAATGAGCCGGCGTGGTGACCCCCTTAAAGAAAGCAGCTTAATGAACAATATGAAGCTACTGAGTATAAATCAGTGCAGCTCTGTTTTATTTAAACTTCTCCTTTAAATGCTTTAATATTATCAAAAGTTTACATCATTGTCTCTGTTGTGCAGGTAATGTGATTGATTTGATTGTTTCTAGGCAAAAAGTTATCAAAAGTGGGGATTGAGCCTATTTAGAGAAGATTACTTTTGGAGTTGATCCAGGAAGTTGTGGAAAGTTTCTTTACTATTCTGAAATAGGGAAAAAGTGGACATTTCACACCATATTTTGATAAATATATCAAAATGAAATTCAGAGAAGTTGGCTTGACCCAAAAGCAAGCCCCAAGGAAACAGTGTCTTCTCCAAGAAACAGACCAGAAGTGATCACACTTTTATAAATAAGTGGGTTGCATTCATTTGAATTCTATTTTTATAAATGAAGAAGGCGCGACCTGATAAAAATGTTGGACGTACATTTCAAAGATGTTGACTCCAATCTGAAAAATTGAACTCTAACCATGCAGCCCTGTACGAAGGATCCTCAATGAAGCCCAGGTTTTTAAAGAGTTTGTAGGACAGCACATTGTCTTCTTCTATGTAGCAGTACACCGGGTAACCCTCAGCATGGAGTTTCTTGGCTAAAATGCTAATCAGGATTTTGGCATAGCCTTTCCCTCTGTGCTCTGGCAGCGTATACAATATTCCCAGAGCACAGTAATCATACACAAGTATCCAGGACACGGGTTGACCCTGGCTGTCTGTGATGCAGCATGATGGGAAGTTACTGTTTAGGTTTTCGATGGTCCTGTAACCCTTCTCATCTCCTCCAAACTTCCAGGTTTTATTCACCAAGTCAACGTGGGAAAGGTTTAGAGACGAAATCCTCGACTCAAGCTCACTGTAGAACGAAAAACCAAAGATGTTGAGAAGCAATATAATTTACATTGCTCTGAAGCATATTTACAGTCATAGAGAAAAAATGTACAGTCTCCTTAAAGTCTAATATTTTATATATAACTACATAATAAACATCATTTGGTCCTGAATAGAGCTTAAATTAAGGTTAATACAACCACAGATCAACAAAACATAAGATAATACACTGTGCCGTTGTTTATTGAACAAATACAGAGCCAAAATGCAGAAGCAGTATGTGAAAAACTAAGTATACTATTACTATTGAACCTGATCTCGCTGCAAAACATGTAATAAACATGCCGGTCCACCGTGTCCATTTGTCGCTTTGCCTCTCCAAGCCATGAAATGTACATGCATGTAGAAGTTACAGTAATCTGCAGTAAGTGTTTAAAAAGACAGTACTAACACATTTACATCATGTAAATACATACTAGCCGACTACCTTAATATTTTCTGACGATTAATGACCCTGCAATGTACTTAATACATTTCAAATTTTGGAGGGGCTAAGTGTGAAATGGGCGTGTTTTTGCCTTGATACTGGGTTTTACTATTTCCACTGAATGAGGAAGGTAAGCAGCAGTCAGATGTTGATAATCAAAGTATCAGAAGAAATTGTGTAAACCTCTATAAAAGCAGAAGCTTGAGCAGTTTGCTGGTAAGTTGTGTGTTAACACGATGCCAAGTAGGAATAATATTAAAGAGGCAATTATTAAAACCCATTAGTCTGGGAAGCCAAAGGACTGGGGCACCTTGCAGTCTTTGAGTAGACCACTGTATATTCCTCTGTATGTTAAAGCATTGTAGCGTTACATGTGGCGACATCTGGCTGACAGCTAAAGACTGGCCCAAAATGGGTCATCCAACATGATAATGATCCCAAGCACAGCAATAAATCTACGACAGAATGACTGAAAAGAACAGATGGAACAAAGTCCAGACCTCAACCTGACTGAAATGCTGTGGCAGAACCTTATTACACAGCTTCTCCTTTATGGCTTAGTTTTTGTTAGGTCATGACAGTGTTGTGTATGTTATGTGAGCTCATTTTAAGACTTGCTAAAGACAGCCATTAAAAAAAATGCCGATATGTATAACCTTACAACTGACACAGGATGGTCTTTTTTAACGTGTTTCTAAAATCATAACTTACACACAGATATAACTTAAAGTGCATCTTAATTATCAAATTATACCTGTCAACCACTGGCATGTGGAGATGGTTGGTGTCTGGCAAATACAGAAGATGCACCAAAGTATAGACTTTGTGGTTCACTCTTCTGTCAGAAGACACTTGTTTAAGCATTGGTGCATGGGAAACATCAATCCCTGTCGAATGGAAAGTATTCACATGAATTTCTTTCTCTTCTTTTTCCTCGCAAGAGGTTATCCAA